CATATATTATTTGTACGTTATTACCCTATGCCTGTTTTTCCCATTGTGTTTTTACAGGTTTTATATTGAATATAAGGGTAATTATTGTTTCTCTGTGCTCTCACCATTTTTTACTGTTTTAACCAATAACCACGCTATGTATTATAAATAAGGAAATTAAGTATGATTGGGGGTATAATTAAGACAAACTTAATAAGATTTAATAGGTGATAATTTCCACATGCACACATACAATTAATACATTTGTTCACTTATTCTTGCTCTTTATATCCAAAGGAAACACAAGTAATAAAAGGATTAGTAAAATAAGATAGAAATGAAAGGGGGGGGGGCAGAAGGAGAGAAAAAATATGGAAAGCTCACAAGAGCCAAAAGAAATATTATAACTGGGTGATTCTTTTTTTTTTTTTTTCATATGGTGAAAAATTGGTAGATGTTTATTAACTCGAAGTTATTCTTCTCTCTCTCCGCTATTCAAATATATATTCTTAAATTAAGTCTTTAGATGCCTGATCTTAATCCCCTCTTTCTGTGATGCTTCACAGATTTCTCTTATCTTCTAAGATGGAAGATCAAGTGAACCCATGGCTATTAGCCTTGGGAGGTATATTGTTGAATGTTGGTGAAACGTTTATGTTTCATCAGTGGTTTTTATGTTGTGTTATGTGTTGTTATTTGCATTGTTGCACAAATTGGGCTATGGTCAGTCTGAATAATATCATTTTTGTGTCTCAAATTATTTGGTACTATCGAGTTAGTGTTTACAAAATCTCTGAAAGTTAATGCTGAAAATTATGTCTATAAATGTACAAGGTCTAAATACACGGTGGAAAAAGCAAATGCTTTATGATTCTTTGGTCTCTAACCAAATACAAATAGCCTTTCTTCAAGAAACGCACTGGTTGAGATCTGAGTCGCTAAAATGGATGGGGCATAAATACAAATATATATATCACGCATCTCTCCTAAATAATAAAAAATCTGGGGTGGCAATTATATTTGATTCTAATCTAAAACTTGAAGTAAAATAAATAGACAGTGATCCTAATGGCAGATTTCTTATAATTATCTGCAAAATAGAATCTATAACTTATACTCTGGTTAATATATACTTACCAAATATTAATCCAACTGCCTTGTTTTCCAAAATCATGGATAAATTAGAAAATAAAACAATAGGTACTTTATTAATAGCGGGCAATTTTAATTGTGTTTTTGATCCAGTAATGGATAAAAAAACTCATATTCAATTAAAATTTGAAAGCCATTTATATAAACAATCTAAAACCCTCTCTAATTTATGTGCCATGCATGGTTTATATGATGCTTGGCGGGTAATTCACCCAGATTTACGAGATTATACGCATTTGTCTAAAGTGCATGATTCTTATTCACGAATCGATTTATGCTTAGTACAAGCTAATACTTTGAAAGAAATAAATACAATCCAAATTAAGGATAATACTTGGTCAGACCATAGTTTCTTAATTTTGGAAATAGGTAAGATCTTACAGAGATCTACTGATTCCTGGAGAATGGACGACTCTCTCTTTAAGGTGAAGATAAATCAAGACAATATAATTAAACTTTCAAGGTTTTTTTGGCTTGAAAATTCTACCCCTGATATTCTAGATTCTACTTTATGGTCTTCATATAAAGCGGTCATTAGAGGCTATCTTATTAAAATTGAAAAACAATCTAAAACTATGATAAATAGAGATCTGACAGATCTAAATATTCAATATTTTAACCTGTCTAAAATGAACAAAGAGTTTCCAACCACTCAATTAAGATCAGCACTTCTAGAATTACAAAAACAAATTAACTTTAAGACAGAAGAAAAGATTAGAAAAACAATTAATAAATTGAGATTAAATACTTACCATCAAAGTAACAAAGCAAATAAAAACTTAACCAGAAGATTAAAAAAGCAAAATTCAAATAATAGGATTAATAAACTGGTCGCGGATAAAAATACATACTCTTCCCCAGAAAAAATTGGGCAACTATTTAATGAATTTTACAGCAAATTATATGATTTGGATATATCATCAGATAATCAAGATATTAAACAATATTTGGATAATATCAATATCCCAAAAATCAATAATCAAGAGTTAGCCCAACTTAATTATGAGTTTACGATAGAAGAGGTTGAAAGAGAGATTGATAGACTTCAATTAAATAAGACTCCTGGACCGGATGGTTTTACTAATCTTTTCTATAAAGTAATGAAAAAAGAGATAACTACTCCTTTAACAGCTCTCTTTAATGAAATGGCCAACACGGCTAAAACACCAAAGGAGTTATTACAAGCCAATATTCTTCCAATATTGAAACCAAATAAGGATCCAACTGATGTCAAAAATTATAGACCAATTTCTTTAATCAACACAGATATGAAAATATATGCAGCAATCTTAACAACTAGATTAAAACTTCTTGTTGAGAGAGTCGTTCATTCTGATCAGGTTGGATTTTTGCCAGGTAGATCCTCTGATACATGCACTAGAAGAATAGTGAACATTTTGGATGGTGCACTTCGTCGGGAGATTCCGCTGTTGACCCTGTCATTAGATGCCGAGAAGGCCTTTGACAGGGTCAGTTGGCGTTTCCTTGATGAGGTGCTGACTTCTTTTGGATTTATAGGGTGGATTCATGATGCCATTTTGGCACTCTATTCTGAACCAACAGCTAGAACTGTAGGTGTAAATATTCAATCAAATTGGTTTAGTTTACATAATGGCACACGCCAGGGCTGCCCTCTATCACCCCTTCTTTATATTTTAACTTTGGAACCCTTAGCTATTAATATTAGGAATAATCTGAATATCACAGGTTTTCCAACAAAGAATTCGGAAGCAAAAATATCACTTTATGCTGATGATATATTATTAACACTCACTTCTCCAGAATCCTCACTTCCTCAAGTCTTATCTGCTATAAAAAGCTATTCTAAGGTATCTAATTATAAACTTAATATATCTAAATCAATTGCTGTAACTACTAATGTTGATATTTGTAGCTTAAAAGTTCTCCGGGAAAATTATGATTTTGTATGGACTAATAGAGTTTTTAATTATCTGGGCGTGATAATTTCACCTCAAGTTAACAATATTATGGAAATAAATGTATTGAATCTCCTAAAATATACAAATACAAAATTAAAAGAATGGCGTCTGACCGAATCCTCTTGGATCGGCAGGATTAACATAATTAATGCTTATATTATGCCCAAATGGTCTTATCTATTTAGGATGATTCCCCTTCAAATACCAGAAATTTGGTTAACCATGATACAATCTAGTTTTCAAAAATTCATCTGGAAAACGACGAGGCCTAGAATAAGTTCTAAAGTTCTTTCTAGGAAACCTCAAAACGGAGGTATAAATTATCCAAATATTAGAAATTGTTATTACGCTAATATTATTGGTCATATATACAAACTGCAGGTTGAATCGTTTAAAACAGATATATGGTACCTAATTGAATCCGAGGCAGTTGGAAAAGATAGATTGGAAATGTATTTATGGCTTAAAAATAACAAAAAAACTATAGAATTTCTACGTAGCAAATCATTAATTTTGTCACAAATTGTTAGCGCATGGGAGAAGATAAAAAAACAAAAAAAAATCTCCGATAAAATAATTAAGTCATCCCATTTGATCATTTTAGAAGATAATATTGAGGATATTTCTTTAAATAAATGGTCTAAATTTCAATGGACGATTGGAGATATCCTCCATGACGATCAAATCTTACCTTTTGTGGATATTCAAGCTAAACTTCTTCTCCCTAACAAAGAATTTTTTTCTTATTTAAGAATTAAAAATTTTCTGAATATGTTTTTATTAAATACGTCACCAAAAATTGATATTCTTTTTCAAACTATTTTCAGATATACTAAGGTTAATAAAATTCTTTCAAAAGCTACTAATTTGTTATCCAACCTTGATCATCAACCCTTAAATATACTTGATAAATGGAAAAATATCTTGAAGATCGACATAACTGAGCAGGAATGGTGTATGTCTCTTAGAGATACTCGTAAATATATTCATTGTCAGAATCTATTTGAATGTCAATATAAGGTTATGTACAAATGGTATCTGACTCCACTTAAATTAACTAAGATGTATCCAGGTCAAACTTCTTATTGCTGGCGTTGTGGTTCTACAGAGGGAACACTTGTTCATATATGGTGGCATTGTAAATTGGTTAAAAATCTTTGGGAATGGTCCTTTGAAATTCTTAAATGTTTATTTAATATTACAATTAAAAAAGGACCAGATACAGCATTGCTACATTTAAATTGGAAACTTTCTTCCACTCCATCTATATGCCTTGTAAACCATTGTTTCCTGGCAGTTAAAATATTAATAGCAAGACAATGGAAGTCACATCTCCCTTTTTTGAGAAGTCAGCTTGTTAATCAAATTCTACATCAATTTAAAATGGAAAAAGACTTACCATTTTCTTCTATGCTTTCTTTAAAAAAACAAGATCAATATATAAATTGGATACGGATCTTAGAAAATAAATGAATTATCCTTTTGTACTCTTCCTGCTTGGATTGAGATAGTCCTGAAAAATCCTTATTATAGGGATATTTCTTTTTAGATCTTCAGACTGACCATGGCCCATATATATATATGTTTGTATTTACATAGCTATATCTATTTTTAGTGGATGCTAGTTCTATAAGATACAGAATATATTTCTACTGAGAGATTTTTGGCCGTCTAGCTTGTGATTTACCTAATATATACGTTAAAACAGTTGTAACAATGTAAACTTTATGTCTTGTTTTGTCATTGTCACACTTGTTTTGTTCTGTATGCACTTTATTACTTGTTAATGTATGATAAAATGTTTTAATAATAAAAAAAAAAAAAAAAAAAACAGCAATATAAGCCTCCTGTCTTGCCATAAAAATTAGGATTATTCTAGCTTTAGTGACTGAATTATCTAAATTTTATTAAAGACAGGAGGCAAATATTTTCCCACCCTATTGGTATCCCATCCCAGATATTTTCATGTAAAGTATACTCTTATTTTCTAGGTTTCTCGTAAGACTTTATATTAATCTGCCTGTTTTTCTGTTTGCTCTGGTTAGGTGATTCTTAATCTACCTAGTTCTGGCTATTTCAGATTTTGCAATAGTTATCCATGGATATATCTGTGTATGTATATATCTTGCAGACACCCAGTCCAAGTGACTATACTTTCACATTATTTCTCTATCTTTTTATTGTGAAGTTTGTCTGCATGAGCCACTAAGCCTACGTTCCATAGGTCTCAGTATCGGTTCGTTCTGGTTTATATGGTTGATTGATCACCACTGCCATATTGGTTGACTACACTTATGATCGGATGCATCAAAAAAAGAGGAGTTGGGAGGAGCCTGACAGACTGTTATGTTCTAAAATGTATTGATTGGTTGATTTTTTTCTCTATATGTTTAACTATTTTTTGCTGCTTGAAGGTTCAGTAAAGAAGGTTAAAGCAAAATGTGCCTCCTGTCTTTAATAAAATTTAGATTATTCAGTCACTAAAGATAGAATAATCCCGAATTAAGTCAAAACTTAAGGTGCAACATTTATATAATGCTATTTGATACAAATTACTTTTCCATGGGGGCAGAGCCTTCTAAGCTGAGTGGACATGCTGTAACCAAGCTCCTGCTCAAGCTACCTGTTTTGGGGGAATGAACACCAATGGCACAGATCCACTCTGAAGGGTTATAACCACACAGGGGACACCCTGGCACAGCTTTGACACCCCACTCACTATTTTGAACAACCGGGGACCCAACCTGCGTTAACAGAGGCCTGCAAGACGGCGTGCAGGGGAGAGACGGACACTCTCCTCTCTTCCTGCCTGCTACAGGACCACCTCGATCCTCAAGCCTTTGACCCCCCCCCCCCCCTTGGAACTGGTGGGGGATATCCCGGTCCTCGCTGTGAGCCCAGAGCAACCCATTCAAAACATGAACTAACCTATCTACAAGCTCCAGGACCAGCGACACATGAGGCACAGACAAAATGACGGCGGAGTGCCAAACACAGCAGCGGAATCAAGCCACAACCCCAAAGCTCAGCACTGCTAATAGCAATGACCTCGAGAAGCGCCACAATGATTTATTCCAAGCATTCTGGGAGAACCTACAGAACCGCGCTCGGAGAGCAATGACTGGGTGGCGAAACCGTGTGGAAGCGGGTGAGAGGAGCCACAGGCAACTGCGAGAGGGGGAGCCAGGTTCGAGCATGGCACCAAACTACTGGCCGACACTCACATATCCTGGCCCACCACAACCTTCCGGGGACTCACCCCTGCAACCGAGTCGGGACCCAACGCGCAACAAGAAACCAAGCCCCCAGGGGAAACAGGGCCGATTACTGAACTGCAACTCCCCAAGACAGGCTGCCGCCGCGGCCCCCACTTGACACCATGGCAAACAGAAGAAGGGCAAATGCCACTCACCTGTGTGGATCTCTCGGCAACCACAGGCTCGACCAGAGGCTATGGCGACCCGTTGGAGAAGACCCTGGTGCCGCGGACAGCAACAACGCCACCCTGAGCCGGCTGCCAAGAGACCCGCACCGGCACAACAGGGAATGGTAACCGAGGGCATTGACCGGGAGGCCGAGGGGTTGAGCACTAAAGAGAACACTCAGTAACTGTTGCAGCACCCGACCGACCCAGCGCACTGCAGGGCTGCCATGGAGGACACTCATATAACAACCACTGGCGTGGGCTAAGTTACTTTGCAGGACTCAATGTCTACCTGTAGAAAATGGATCAGCGCTGCGTGATTTAGTGGGGAACTGAAAACAAGTGGAGAGCTGCAACCTATAAGTATGAGGTTCCCTCTAAAGTCCTCAAAGAAGAAATGGCAAAAACAGGAATAATAGGTCGCGCTACAACAAATAAAAAGAGATAAATATAATATATTGGCATACACTTAAAAATATAAAAAGAAATATATAAATAATAGTCCAAATACTTGGTGCACTTTAGGTAAGTTCCAATGGATGAATGGAAATCTCAGTACTTTGTGTGTTTCTCTTACTGGTTCCAGTAAATATATGAAGGTAGTATGTTCAGTGGAGAACTGGATCTTCTAATGTTAGGGTAGTCTTGACTCGATAATAACCATGGAAAATAAAGAAAACAGGGAAGATCCAATTGTGTAGATTGTCTATTAATAACTAAGAGTATGAAAAATAATAGGGAGGTAACACACTCACCTATTTCAGAGCATAAACTCGCTCTAGTATGTTAGGCATTCAGTGGCGTTTGTCCCCCACTGGTAGGATATAGGTGAAGATGATTCCTCAGTATGGAAAAAAGATAAAAGCAGAATATAGTGTTCACTGGATATAAATAAAATAAAAGAAAATAAAAGAATAAAAGTACTCACATTCGGATGAGCAGAATGTACTGCTCAATATAATCGCATAGGTGGTACAATCCCCAGGATTCTTGGTCGTATGTAGGCTCCAAGATAAAATATAACCAGGTACCAGGAAATTGTAAAAATAAAATAAAAAAAGGTATATGGCAAAATTATAATATAAAAGCCAATATTCCTTTATTGATACAGTATAAAATATAAATAATAGCCAAAACGCGTTTCGCCACACAGGGCTTTATCAACTGGCAATAATAAAAATCAACCTGGTACATAGATACTTATATAAACTTAGATAAAACATGCTAATTCAAATTTTGGCGCCAAAATGACGTCATCAATACAATAGATAAAATATAGAATCATTAAAAACATAAAATTAAAAAAGAAAAGGATACATAGTGTTAATAAAACAGTGTATAAGGTAATCATTAGATTTTAATAGTAAAACGAGTGTTATTAATAAAGATAGACAAAAAAGTAAAAAGGAGATTAAAAGTCATGTGATCGCAATCTAATGCGATCAAATGATATACACTAATGCAGGATGGGAAATGTAGTAACAGAAGGAGTGGTCACGTGATCGCGGACCTCCGCGATCACGTGGCCCACCGCACGTATTATGAGGAATGCAACAATCAGACGGAGGTCGGCATCTCGCAGCACGCCTCCGTCTGACGTCAGTAGTGAGGACGGCATCACTGTATGCCGCAAGTGCACATGGGATATGTAGTGTTCAGACGGAGGCCAGCATGAAAGAGCACGCCTCCGTCTGACATCAATGAGTTGGGCGGGGTTAAATGCCGAACGAGATACAAAGTAGAGGGCATAAAGCCCAACTGGGAAACAAATATCAAAAAACAATAAATGCTGATAATAAATGAATAAAAGGCTAAATGGCTAAACATATATAAATGCCTTTATGATAACATGTATCCTCTATGGGCATTGAGCTAATAGTTAGATAAAAAAATAAAAAAGGATCAAGTAATCTCTGTAACAATATTAGTGAATAAATAAAAGGGCATATAGTAGTCAACTGTGCCCTTATGATAAAAATCTACAAAAAATAAATAAAAAAAAATAAAAATATATATATATAATATAATATTGTAATGTGTTAATTATAAAAAGTTAAAAAGATCAAATTCAGCATTTAAACCCTCAGGAGAGAGAGTTTTGAGTTGAAAAACCCAGTACATTTCCCTTTTTCCTAGAGTTTTAGTCATATCTCCACCTCTCCATGGGAGAGTAACTTGTTCTATCCCAGTTATTTTTAAAAGAGTCGGGTCTTTGTTGTGTATTAAAAAGTGCTTGGAAACTGAATGATTTTCGTAGCCTCTTCTAATGTTACGGCAGTGTTCTGCCAATCTTACTTTAAGGCATCTTTTAGTCATGCCCACATATTGGAGTCCACATGGGCATTCCAATAAATATATAACATTTCTGGTATTACAACCTATAAATTCTTTAATTGTGTAAGAAGTTTTAGTGATACTAGAGGAAAAATGGGTGGTTTTGGAGTTTGTAGTTCCTTTAGTGGTTCTGCACACAATACATTTATTGCACTTAAAACAACCTTTTGGTCTAGATAAAAAGTTTTTATTTTGTTGTACATTCTCTTTTGTGTAGTTTTTTGTGAGAATTGTTCTAAAGTTAGGAGCCCCTCTGAACACAACGTTAGGTCTATCTGGGATATGATCTTTTAAGAGGTCATCCTGTTTAAGGATATGCCAATGTTTGTTTAAATTTTTTTTTTAAATTTTCTTCTTATTATTAAAATCCAATATGATGGGTAGTTGGGGAGGGTCTACTTTTTTAACTTTGTATTCGAGAAGCTCCTTTCTTTCCTTCATTTTTACTGCCTCTAAGGCTGTATTTAGCTTTTCTGCCTCTTTTTATCTAAAAACATATTTTTCAATGAGGTAGACTGAGCGTTAAAATCAACTTTTTGAGAACAATTTCGATGAAGACGGAGAAATTTACTTTTTGGAATACCATCCAACCAAGGTCTATGATGACAACTAGTTTGATCAATAATCGTATTAGTGCAAACTTCTTTAAAGAAGGTTTTAGTATGGATGCAGCCATCTTGAATAAAAATATTCAAATCTAAAAAATTAACTGACGTTTTACTAAAATCTGAGGATAAAACTATACCTCTGTCATTAGTATTTAAAAAATCTAAAAACAACTTAAGAGAGGTTTCCGAACCTTGCCAAATAAAAAACAAATCGTCAATGTAACGGAAATAGGAAACCAAGTTTGCCTGCCAGTCATGGTCACCCAGACCGCCAAAGATTCCCAATCGGCCATGAAGAGATTAGCATAGCTGGGGGCAAACCTGGTTCCCATAGCCGTACCTTTCTTCTGGATATAAAATGAGTCTAAAAACCAAAAGTAATTGTTTGTGAGGATTATATCTATACCTTGTATAATAAAATCTATTTGAGAATCTGGGATGGAACTATTTTGTTTTAAAAACCTTTCTACTGACTTGCAACCAATATCGTGAGGAATTATAGTATATAGTGATTGCACGTCACATGTTACCAATATATAGTCATGACACCAATTAAAATCATTTAAAAAAGATAAGAGAGTCATAGAGTCTTTCAAATATGATCTAGTTTGTTTGACCAGAGGTTGTAACAGGATGTCGATATATTCGGAAAGATTAGATAGGACAGAATTAATACCCGATACAATTGGCCTCCCAGGAGGTTCTTTTGCATTTTTATGAATTTTCGGAAGAAAATAAATGACTGGGATTTTAGAGTAAAGAATGGTGAGGTAGTCAAATTCGTGTTTATTTAAAATACCTGTGTCCAATCCTTTTTTCAGGAATATACTTAAGTTTTCTTTAATCTTAGAGGTGGGGTCATAAGGTAATTTATCGTATACCTCAGGATCATTAAGTTGGCGATTTGCTTCTTTCCTGTACATGGCCTGGGACTGAATGACTAAACCCCCACCTTTATCAGCGGGTTTGATAACAATATCGTCATCTTTTTGGAGTTCCTTTAGGGCTTTCCATTCCTTCTGTGTAAGATTCTGGTGGTCATATTTAGTATGTTTGATTTTATCAAAATCATGAAGAACCAATTTCTCAAAGACTTCTATGGAGCCTGATTTAAAATTAGAAGGATAAAATTTGGAAGGATTTTTTTAAATTGTGTGTGTAGTAAAACGTTCAGTAGTTGTGTCAGGATCCGGAGTTTGTAGTAACGAACTTGGTTCTGCGAGGGTGTTGCTATTTTGGGCGATTAATCTTTTTATTGTTGCTTTTCTCACAAACTTATTAATATCCAGAAATGCTTGAAAAGGTTTGAACGGATTTGTGGGAGCATATTTAAGACCTTTGCTTAAGACTAGAATCTGAGTGGATGTTAAAACTTTTTGGGAAAGGTTAAAAATGCCTAATTTTTTCTCGTCTATATTTGTTATGGTCTCTCCTTCCTTTCTCTTTTGTAGTCTTCTACCTCCTCTCCTTCCTCTATACTTAAACTTCTTTTCCTTGTTCTGGGTAAGTATGGGGTCTGTGTGTGAGGTAGGCTCTGTGTGCGGATGTCTAAAAAATTCTTCTCAATCTCTGAATCAGTAGATAATAATTGAGATCTATTGTTGTGAATGTAGTTGGGTGGTGACTTAGGAAGATCTGAGTGTTTGTGACCAAACCTAGATCTCTGTGGCCTAGGTGTTAAAGGTTGAGTGTAACTGGATCTATTAGTGGTTGTATATTGAGGAAAATTTTACCTATGCGATTATATTGAGTAGTACATTCTGCTCATCCGAATGTGAGTACTTTTATTCTTTTATTTTATTTTATTCATATCCAGTGAGCACTATATTCTGCTTTTATCTTTTTTCCATACTGAGGAATAATCTTCACCTATATCCTACCAGTGGGGGACAAACGCCACTGAATGCCTAACATACTAGAGCGAGTTTATGCTCTGAAATAGGTGAGTGTATTACCTCCCTATTATGTTTCATACTCTTAGTTATTAATAGACAATCTACACTATTGGA